TTTGACCTCAAACCCGTGTGAGATTTGAAAACCGTACCGCCTTACGTTCGCACTCCTGCACGGGAGTCTTTCTTCAATCTAACTGATGGTTATCAGTTTTGAGACACCAGTTGGTGTGATGTGGTCAATAGGCTTAGTCCACACGTGACTGGCTGTATCCCCCCCTGCGTCGAACGTGTTGAATGTTCGGGTCTTGCCGGATACGCAGGATGCGCGGCCTTGATCCAATCGAATGATTTTTGATAGGCCTCGCGCGATGCAATGATGCTTTCGGAATTCTGGCCAATCATGGATGGATGTGATTGTCCTTTCGCTGCGCTGCGTCCGTGATCGCGGGTATATTGTTTAATGGTTAGTTTCGGTAGCCGACTGTTTTCGTTGGGCCCTTGTGACGAATTTGCTGGCTACGGTGTCTGACGTCCTTTTATGTTCTTTAAGCGGGTTTCAAATTTTCGGCCGGTTTCTGCCGATGGTAACTATTTCGAAACGTAATACCATTCTGAAACGTAAGCGTATCGTTTCCAATCTTTCACGTGTAGTAACATATAACCCTGTTATATCTCCAAACCAACCGAGATGAACTTATTTCTAATGAAACTCGAATAGATTTCAATTCCACCACAGAATGCTGTCTTATTAAACGTCACCGAACCCTCCAACACCGCGTAGGATATTGGTTTTGAGAGTGCATAGCTACTCTCGTTTGTGTCTTTTTCCAGGGTTTCATCCAATTGCATACACTTGGTCCTCTCTCTCTCTCTCTCTTCTTCCTCGCTCTTCTCTCTCTCTCTCTCTCTCTCTCTCTCTCTCTGCTCTCTCTCTCTTCTCTCTCTCTCTCCTCTCGCTCTCTCTTTGTCTCTGTCCTCTGCCTCTGTCTGTCTTTCTGTTTCTCTACCTATCTGTCTGTCTGTAAGCTCCTCTGCTGCTCTCTCTCTCTCTCTCTCTCTCTCTCTCTCTCTCTCTCTCTCTCTCTCTCTCTCTCTCTCTCTCTCTCTCTCTCTCTCTCTTTCTCCACGATGACTACCACGATATACTGAAGGCTATACCTACTAATGCATTGTTTAGGGCGCATCGCATACTTATGTATGTAATCACTCGCAGAGGAACCGCATTCCACGCATGCCTCGTAAGCACACAGTAAGTGCACACGCTGGCAGCTGCGATGCCGAACTATGCTATTTTTCCCGCAAGGGATTCATAAGGGCGAGCGTTCGTGATATTACCGGATCCGGAGATCAGGCGGTGAGAGACGCGCGAAGAGGTACGCAGTTCCTCTCTAGTCAGTAACACCGGTGAGAGCAATGATGAGAGTGGGCATGATGATGATGATGATGATGATGATGATGATGATGATGATGATGATGATGATGAGGAGGAGGAGGAGGAGGAGAAGGAGGAGCAGACGGAGAATGATGATGATAATAATGGTGACGATGATGATGATAACGATGGTGATGATGATTGCAAATGATGGTGATACCGTGAGCAAAACACTGTTTAAAACGGCATGTTCTCGCAGCAAAATGCATGTAGATATGCCTACTGTGAGCTCGTCTATTTTGCAAAAATTCACTTCAACTTATTTGTATTGCTACTCTCATCATATTTCTTCAGCAAACCTAAACAGTTTTACGAAACTAGTACTTTCAATGTTTACACAGTATTTACACAACCGGGACATAGCCGAGCGCTCGCAGTTTTCTTTAACAGATTATTTGTATGATAAAACAAGTTATAATTCATTATTCGATGTTTGTACAGTACAAAATTGTGAAATTTGTTTAAATCATATGTTATCTACATTACTTATGCAATCTTTAAACAAATATAGTGTTTTCTTTCCAGGAACTATTTGCGCTAGCGTAGGCCTACTGTTAGCGTTCTCAGTCACATCGCTCTATGTGTATCTGTACGCCGAAACTCCGTCCGGTAGAGTTTCAAAATTGCCTGAAAATAGTCAACTTCGGAGCACATTTTTGGCTTAATAAGAACATTTTGTGATGTTTGCATACTGCAAGTATGCTCATAGTAGGTGTATGTAGGCATTATGTTGCGAGGTTTATTCATTTTAAATAGATATAGCCTAAAGGTGACGCACATGTCCGAAATTTGCAGTGAGTGCGTACACCATTTTGGAAGTCTGTCACTCCGTGTGTATCAGGTTTGCGTGTTCGTCTCAGCTCTATAGCCGCGTGTCATTGTGATGAGGACAAACGCGATAGCGGCACGACCAACACACAGCCCTACGGAGAGAATAGCAAATGCTCGCCGCTTGCACGATTCACTGCTCAATGTGACACTGTCAAATCACTCATGGTCACTCGTCCAGAGAGAAATGATACAAGATTGCGTGGCACAGCTTTGCTGTTGATCCTGAGCGCTGCGCGCAGTTCCGCGGGATATGCGCACGCGACCGCGGCGATGTTCGAAGTATGAAGCGCTGTCCGCAGTGGAGACGTGCGCCAAATTCGAGGCCCGGCGCACGTCTCCACAGCGGTCAACGGATGGTCTGTAGTTTTAGATGATAACAATGAAGACTTTGTTCTAAATAAGAACTATCGGCGGCTCAATAAGAACAATATACCGACCTTTGAATTTCTTGACTAGTCAGTCAAAGGGCTTGTTGGGGGTCCATTATGCAGAGCTTCCAATTGAAATGGCCCATGAAATTGTCAAGTGGAATTGTGTTTTTCGGAACCCCAAAGAAAATGTCTCCCTCTTACTTGAACCCCCCTCCTTGATCAATCACGCATTCAAGCGTAAACAATAACAGATATGAAATTGTGTTGACTTTATGGCTCTTGACGCACGTGCATTGACGTACAAGACTGATGAAAGCACAGGCACTTGGAACGTCTCAATAAAAATAAATCTTCACACAATTTTTCACAATGATCGACCGCCTGTGTGCAAAATAGGTGAACGTATGTGAAACATATACGGTTAGTACTTACTGTGTGTGACATATCCGTGACTAACTGACACCACTAAATTGGTAAAATGTTCCATGCACCTTAAGAAATGCTGAGAAATTACGAGGTTATCATCGCAGAACTTTCGAACACCGTACGTCACAAAGCTATATGTAAACAAACACGCGTGTTGCGAGGTGCCTGCCTCCGATATCCATTTTGAGGCCCGCTAAGCCAAGCATAAAGCGCGCGGGCAGGACGTCACACACACAGCTACGTTCATTAACTAAAACAATCGAGTAGCGCGGTTAGGGATTTTTGGAATTATTTAATTTTAAGAAAAACTTCAATGTTCAATGAATGACGCACTTGTTCACTTCCGACAGCGAGTGAAAATGCCGGCCTTGCATTTCATTATTTACGAAAAGTAAACAGGCTTGCGAAAGACAGTAGGTACAGTAACTGGTCACGTCGGTGACGCCCCATTCATGTCCATCAATGAAGAAGGCGGGGCTTATTCTGATTACGGAGATGCGAAAATACAACAGAAGGACGTAGCGCAGTGCGCTAAACAGCGTGTTATTTTCGTATTTGTGGCAAACTCTATAGTAGGAAACCGTTCTAACATAGCAGAATGCCATAGTTCCTGAGATCGGCGATTTGGTGGTCTAATGGATCCCCATATTTAAAAATATCAAAATCTGGTGCGGCGTAGGCTGTGATTGGAAGACACAAAGTGTCAATCCTCGGCGCGCCTCGGCATCATGGCCGCATCACGTCTAGATCGTATGCGCTATGCTATGCACTTGCCCGATCGACTGCGGCGCTACATATACGTGGGTGGCAACACTGGCAAGTTTCAACCCACGCGGACGCTGAACATTCCGCCAACATTTGCACTTCCAGTATATTTCCCTTCAAACGTCTCGGTGACGGTAAATGGGCACGCATTACGCCGCTAGCGTTTTACTCGGCATTGCGCACCTATTGAATGCGAACAAATGCACACTGACAAACGCCGTATCAACGTTGCCGCGTGTCTCGGTGGTTCACTTGCATACGCCAGTGCTTAGGCGTACGTGACAATACCGCGGGCTCGCGATGTCAATGCGACCGTGAGTTGCACACGTATTTATTTCCTGATGGCACACACGATTACTGTCCATTATTACGACGGGCAACGCACCATGCACAACGCCCCCGCCTGCGTACGTGCGAAAGCGTCTCTGCGAAAAAATTATCGTTGGTTTTCGCCGATTTCGGTTTTTGTCGCTCCATCGAACGTGTGTAGTGTGTGTGCGCGTATTTTCGCTATGCTATATACCCGTGCTGTCATATTTAACTCGCACGCGGGATATATTAAACAGCCGCACCGCGCGACATTTTACGTTCTTCTTTGTAAGCGTCCGTATATGCATTTTTCGTTATATAGGCGGGAGGTCCATCTCCCTTAACTATGCCGCGTGCGTGCAGTTCCTGTGGCTGGCATTTTCGCGCTGGTGACCCCTTCTCGTATAAGTGTCAGGTCGCATGAACTCGAATTCGTCTCTATTTTCCCTCTTTCTCTATCCTTTCCTGTGCGCATTGTCTCGCTTCGGGTGTGCAGGAAGGTTTTCCGTAGACTTTTTTTGAGGATTTGATCAAATCTATACATTTTTTTTAAATGGCGAGTTTTTCTGAATCAGAAAACCAATCTTGCAATTTGATGCGAAATAATGACGGCCGAAATTTTCTATTCACAAAAATGGTGGTTGCAAATGAAAACTACTTTACTCCTTATCTTGGCTGCTGAAAAAGAAGATGAAAAAGATGGTTATCTCGTTGTTGTTTTTAATGATGATGATGATGATGATGATGATGATGATGTTGTTGATAGTGATGGTGATGATGATGATAAGATTTACATCGCGCTTCTACATGTGCGCCAGATTTATGAGACGCGTGCGATACCGAGTCACGGAATTACACTTTTCGTTATAATGGTGATGGCGATGATGACGATGATGATGATGATGATGATGATGATGATGATGATGATGATGATATGATATACATCTGTTGCATCGTCCTACTTCCTGCTTGTTTCAGGTTTGAATCTGGGGCCTGTGGTCGCAGGCGTTATTGGTGCCAAAAAGCCACAGTACGACATCTGGGGAAACACTGTCAATGTGGCGAGTCGCATGGACAGTGCCGGCCTACCTGAGCACATACAGGTAAGCTAGTTCCCTAATTAGAATATGGAATGACAAGCACATACAGGTAAGCTCATGTCCTAATTAGAATATATGATGACAAGCACATACAGGTAGGTTCATGCCCTAATTAGAATATATGATGACAATCACATACAGGTAGGCTCATGCCCTAATTAGAATATAGGATGACAAACACGTACAGGTAATCTAATACCATAGTTAGAATATGGGGTGATGAGTACATACATTACAGGTATTCTAGTCTCATAGTTAGAATATAGTATGATTAGCATATACAGGTCTTCTAGTCTCCTAGTTAGAATATAGCGTGATGCGTACATACAGGTATTCTAGTCTCCTAGTAAGAATATAGGATGACAAGTACATACAGGTATTCTAGTCTCCTAGTTAGAGTTCCGCATGCACGTTCTCCTCTACCTAGGGCACTAGAAACTGTCTGTACGCATCCCGTTACTCAACTAGGAGACCGACATCCCTGTATGTCCGCCTCACGCTACAGCTCACTACTAGGAGAAGCTAGAATACCTGTCTGTCCGCATGCAAGCCTATACTCTCACTAGGAGACTCGAACTACCCTGTATGTACTTGTCATCCTATACTCTACTAAGGAAACTCGACTACCTGTATGTACTCCCGGCTATCTCTAACTAGGAGACTAGAATACCTGTCTGTAGCGTCATCACGCTACCACTCTACTGGAGCAGAGATACCTGTATGTACGCCCCCAGCTATACCTCTAACTAGGAGACTAGAATACTGTATGTACTTGTCCCTATGTCCTTACTAGAAACTAGACTACCTGTATGTACGATCACGTCTATAACTCTACCTAGAGATCGACATACCTGTATGCCGCCTCCCTGGACGCTACACCTACTAGGAGCCTAGAATACCTGTATGTACGCATCACGCGATACTCTCCTAGGAGACTAGACTTCTGTATGTACGCATCCACGCTATACTCAACTAGGCGAACTAGAATACCTGTATTACGCATCACGCTATACTCTCACTAGGCGACTAGAATCGCCTGTCTGTACGGGCCTCAGTCCACTCTACTAGCGACTAGATCCTGTTGTCCGCATCAGTTACACTCTCACTAGACGCCTCGCATCTGTCTGTACGCATCACGTTTACCCCTCTAAGCTAGAAGACTCGCATACCTGTCTGTAACGCATCCCGTTACAGCTCATAACTCGGAGACTCGCATACCTGTACTGTACCGCATCACGCTCTAACTCTAACTAAGACTAGAATCCTGTATGTACATCACGCTACCCTCTACTAGGAGACTAGAATAACCTGTATGCCGCCATCAAGCTATACTGCTAACTAGGGCTAGAATCGCCTGTCTGACGCATCACCTCTACTCTACCTAGGCGCCTAGAATACCTGTATGTACGCATTCACGCTACCCGTCTACCAGCCGACTAGAATACCTGTATGTACGCCTCAAGCTCTACTCTAACTAGGAGACTAGCTCCCTGTATGTACTTGTCATCCTATCTTCTTTACTAGGAGACCAGACCACTGTCGTACCATGCACGCTATACTCTAATGCGCCTAGACTACCTGTATGTACGCATCACGCTATACTTCTCACCAGGAGACTAGACTCTTGTATGTCCCCTCAACGTTACTACTCTCCTATCGCTTAACAATATTTTTTTAACTGCTCGCCTACCTGTATGTACGCATCCCCTATACTGCTAACTAGAGACTAGAATCACCTGTATGACGCATCACGCTCCCTCTAACTAGGAGACTCGGAATACCTGGTAATGTCCGCATCACGTTCTCTCTCACTAGGAGACAGACTCCCTTGTATGTCAGCATACGTTCTACTCTAACTAGGAGCTCGATCCTGTATGTCCTTTATCCTATATTCTTCCTAGGAGACTAAATACTTTGTAAGTACGCTCACGCTACACCTCTAACTCGGAGACTAGACTACCTGTCATGTACGCTCCGTTCTACTCTAATCTAGGAGACTAGATCCCTGTCTGTCCGCATCACGTTCTCCTCTAGACTTGAGACTAGAATACTGTCTGTACCATCCGGACTATACTCTACCTAGGAACAGAATATGCCTGGTAGTCGCATCACGCTATCCGCTCACTGAGGCGCCTCAAGCTACGCTGTGATGTACGGCCCTCACCCTATGACTCTCTAGGCGACTATAGAATCCTGTATGTTACGCCTCAACGCTACACCTCTACACTAGGAGCCTAGCCTACCTGTATGTACGGCCCTACGTTACACTCTAACTAGGAGACTAGAATCACTGTATGTACCATCACGCTCCAAGACTCTAACTAGGAGCCAGAATCCGCTGTATGTACCATCACGTTATACTCTAACTAGAGACTGAATCCCTGTATGTCCGCCTCAGCGTTTTCTACTCTAACTCAGGCGACTCGACTACCTGTATGTCCCTCCCGCTATCCTTAACTAGGAGACTCGAATCCCTCTGTCTGTCCGCTCCCGCTCCACTGCTACTAGGAGCCTCGCCTCCTGTCTGTACGGCCTCCACTCTACTGCTAACTAGGAGGCTAGACTACCTGTATGTCCTTGTCATCCTACTATTCTTACTGAGGCAACTAGCATCCCTGTATGTCGCATCAGCTATAACTCTACCTAGGAGCCTAGCATACCTGTATGTACGCGATCACGTGGCTACACCTAACTAGGAGACTCGAAACTGTATGTATCGCCATCACGTTATACTCCTACTCGAGACTAGAACTACTGTATGTACGCATCACGCTATCCTCTACTAGGAGACTAACTACCTTTAGCATCACGCTATACTCTCCCTAGGCAGACTCGCTACCTGTCTGTACGCATACACGCTATACCTCTACCTAGTAGCCTCAGAATACCTGTATGTACTTTGTCATCCTATATTCTTACTAGGAGAGCTCGCCTCCCATCTGTATGTACGCATCCCCTACGACTTCAACTAGGAGCCTAGCAACCTGTATGTCGCGCATCACGTTATACTCTAACAGAGACGCAGTCCCTGTATGTCGCCTCCCGTTCTCCTCTACCTATGAGACTGCTCCCTGTAATGTCCGCATCACGCTATACTTCTCCTCGGAGCCTAGACATACCTGTATGTCCCATCCGCTATACTCTAACTAGGAGACTCGCATACCTGTATGTCGCATCACGCTGATACTCTAACTAGGCGACTAGCATCCTCCGTATGTCCATCCGCTAGCCTCACTAGGAGACTCGAAACTGTATGTACGCATCACGTTCCCCTCTAACAGGAGATAAATACGCTGTATGTACGCATCCCACGCTATCCCTCTAACTGAGACTAGCATACCTGTATGTTACGCATCACGCCCTACACTCTAACGAGGAGACTAGAATATCCTGTATGTACGCAATCACGCTTTACTTCTAACTAGGAGCTGAGATACCTGTATGTACGCATCCACGCTAATACTCTAACCTGGAGACTTATGCATACCATTCGTACGCATCACCTATACTCTAACTAGTGAGACTAGTATCCCTGTATGTACGCATCACGCTACCCTCTACCTAGGAGACTAGCTAATACCTGTATGTACGCTCACGTTACACTCTACTAGAAGACTAGCATACTGTATGTCCGCCTCACGTTACCTTCTCTACCTAGGAGACTAGAATCCCTGTTATGTCCGCATCACGCTCTACTCTCACTAGGGACAGAATACCTGTATGTATACGCATCACGCTACACTCGTAAGTAGGCGACTCGATACCTGTATGTACGCATCACGCCTACTCTACACTAGAGACTCGAATCCCTGTATGTCGCATCACGCTCTACTCTAACTAGAACAGATCTGTATGTCCGCCTTCACGCTATACTCTAACTAAGGAGACTAGACTCCGCGTATGTACTACTTGTCATCCTATCATTCTTGACTAGGACACTAGCATACCTGTATGTACGCATCACGGCTATACTCTACCTAGCGACTAACACTGTCTGTACGCCTCCACGCCTACGCACTCAACTAGAGACTAGAATAGCTGTATGTACGCATCACGCTATCCTCTCACTAGGAAGACTGCCTCCCTGTTCTGTACGCATCCCGCTCGTACTCTCCTGGAGACCTAGCAATACCTGGTTGTACGCGTTGGTCATCCCCTATACTCTACCTAGGCGACGTAGCCTACCTGTATGTACTTGTCTCCTATATCTCACTATGTGGGAGCCTCGAATCCCTGTCTGTACGCATCAAGCTCTCTCTACCTAGAGACTAGACTACTGTCTGTAGTCATCAACCGTCTCCTCTAACTAGAGCTACATACTGTATGTACGCATCAGCTTATCTCCCTAGGAGATAGAATACCCTGTATGTACGCCTCACGCCTATACTCTACTAGGAGACTAGAATGACAGTATGTCCGCACACGTTACACTCTCTAACTAGGCACTAGAATCCCTGTATGTCGCCTCACGTTAGCCCTTCACTAGCAACTCGAATACCTGTCTGTCCGCATCAGCTATACTTCTACTCGGCGATCTAGAATACTGTATGTACGCATCACGCTATACTCTCCCTAGGAGCCTAGAATCCCTGTATGTCCGCTCCGTTACCACACTCTAATAGGAGCCTAATACGCTGTATGCTACGCATCACGTTCCCCCTAACTCGAACCTAGAATACCTGTATGTAGCGCATCATGGGGGGGGTGCGTTCCAGCTCCTACTCGAAGACTCCATACCTGTCGTCCGCATCCGCGTTACAACTCTAACTCGGAGCACTCAGAATACGCTGTAATGTACCGCATCAAGCTATACTCTAACTAGGAGACTCGACTACCTGTATGTCTTTAATCCTGTATTCTTATCGCCCTCGAATAACCTGTATGTCCGCATCAGCGCTATATCTAACTAGGCACTAGAATACATGTAGTACGCCTCACGTTACACTCTAACTAGGAGAATAGAATACCTGTATGTACGCGCATCACTTTACACTCTAACTAGAGAGCCTAGAATACCTGTCTGCTACGCTCCGTTCCCTCTACCTAGAAGCCTAGAATACGCTGTATGTACCCATCACGTTCCTTACCCGGCGCCTAGCATTGATGCTCCGATCAAGCTATCCTCTATCTAGGAGACTGAGAATACCTTATGTACTGCCTCCTCTATTCTCACTAGGAGCCTCGCAAACGCTTATGTACGCATCACGTTTATTACTCTAAACTCAGGAGACTAGAATCCTGTATGTCCGCCTCAACGCTCCATCTTCTTAACTCGGAGACTAGAATCCCTTATGTACGCATCACCGTTAACTCTAACTAAGGAGAACTAGAATACGCTGTTATGCCCCTCAAGCTAATCCTAATAGGCGCGTAGACTACCTGTCTGTACGCATCACGTCTATCCTCCACTAGGAGCCTAGGAATACATGTATGTCCGCATCACGTTACACTCTCCACTCGGAGACTAGAATACCTGTCTGTACGCATCACGTTCCCTCTAACTAGAAGCCTAGAATACCTGTCTGTCGCCTCACGTTCCACTCTAACTAGAAGACTAGAATACTGTCTGTAACGCCTCTACGTTACACTCTAACTAAGAGCCTAGACTACCTGTCAGTACGCATACATCACCTCTACTCTAACTAGGAGACTAGCATACCGTATGTACTTGTCATCTATATTCTTTTACCTAGGAGACAGCATAGCTCTGTCTGTCGCGCATCAGCGCTATATCTACCTCGGAGACTAGCATCCTGTATGTACGCTCACGCTATACTCTAGACTAGGAGATAAGACTACCTGTCTGTACGCTTCACCTTAAACTTCTAACTAGAACTAGAATACGCTTGTATGTACGCCTCACGTCTCGCTCGTAACCTAGGAACTAGAATCCCCTGTCTGTACGCATCACGTTATCCTCTCACTATGCGACTAGAATACCTGTATGTCCGCATACGCTAGTACTCTCACTAGGAGACTAGAATACCTGTATGTCGCATCACGCTATACTCTAACTAGGAGACTCGAATACCTGATCTCTCTC